TCCTGCAGGATTTGAAGTTTATCTGTAACTCCAGGAGGCTCTGACCCCATATGCATGAATCCATAGGTTCATTCTGGAACATTCTTTGTCATTCTTTCCACCCATCAAGTGGGCCAGAACCCCACCCCTTGCGCCCTGGTCAGCAGATACCTGCGCAGTGTGTCTCATGCCGCAGCTGCGCTCTTGTGAACAGGGCTGTCCGCCGCTCTGTGGGCCCCATAGGAACAGGATACTGCAGGAAGGCAGGCCTGCGTCGGCAGCTTTATGGCCCTGGCTGTGCGTTTAACGGCCAGCCAGGCACGTCACGGCAGCTCCTTGACCCTCCAGGGAGCCATTTTTGTGAATCTGCCTCCCTGTCTCTGAAATCCAGGTGAATATTGGGTCGATCCCAACCAAGGGTGCTCCAGGGACTCCTTCAAAGTCTACTGCAATTTCACAGCCGGAGGGTCCACATGTGTCTTCCCCGACAAGAAGTCTGAGGGGGTAAGTATCTGTGTCGCCTCCTGTTCCATGTAGGCTGTACCAGGACAGGTGTTTCTTGTGTGTGTACAGCTTTAAGGCTAAAAACCAGAGACCAATCAGTTTCAGAATCAAGAGCATTCTTCCTGAAGTCACTCTTGTGTTGCTTCTGGATGCTGGCAGGTGGAAGGTTGGCTATGTGTGCCCTCCCCGAGCTGCTCACAGTGGGATTTGTCCCCTGGCTGATGACCTTCCCTGGGACTCAGTAGCATCCCAACTGAGACCAAACTAAAGTGCTTCTTGGGTCAAGTGTGATAAGGGACCTGAGACATCTAGGGGTCACCATGGACCTACACTGGGGGCACCAGCTCATTTTTTTGAGATTTGCCCTAGGTCCCCCGAGTTCCAAGCAGGGCTCTACAGTCTATTCATGAGGAATTTAGGGGTGGAAAGCTAGATTCTGACTCAAGAGATTTTGTAAGATGTCACTTAATAACATCTGTGACCTTTCAGGGACTCAGTGATGTGGTAGGAATTTGTGTGCATGTGACTCACATATGAATTATGGTATGCTGAGGAGTGACAGGCCCCCCGAGTTCCAAGCAGGGCTCTACAGTCTATTCATGAGGAATTTGGGGGTGGAAAGCTAGATTCTGACTCAAGAGATTTTGTAAGATGTCACTTAATAACATCTGTGACCTTTCAGGGACTCAGTGATGTGGTAGGAATTTGTGTGCATGTGACTCACATATGAATTATGGTATGCTGAGGAGTGAGTTTGTGACACTCGCATCAGAGGCAGAGGCCACTTTGGGGGAGGAGGACGAGCCTCCCCATGACTAAGAGAATGACCCTTACCTCAGTGTCCCCCGTATGATCCGGGATGGCCAGTTGTCACGTGCCATTGTCCAAAGGCCACAGTAGGTACACCTGTATTCCATACCACAGCTTCCTAATGGCCCTGGTACCCGAGAACAGGCTCCTGCTGGAGAAAGAGCAAAGGGCTCCCTGGGGCTCTTGGCCCCTCTCTAAATCACACCATAAAGGCAGTAAGCACCGGCACACCCTTGGGTCACACTTTGCTGGTGGTAACAGGAGCAGAGCAGGGCAGAGAGATTCATGGGCTGTCATCCCTCTGTCCTTCCTCACCCTGATCTCCCTCACTCCCAGAGACAAGGGCTGCTCAGAGGTCTGAGGTGCGACCTGCCCTATGGGTCTTGTTTCCTTCCATCTGACCAGAGCTTGGAATGGAATTCAGCCAACAGACCTTCCTCTCCCCTCCTGGTGCTCTGCAGATGGCCTCCTGATCACCCAGCCATCTCTCGGTGCACAGCAGCTGGGGTCCATGCAGACCCGGCGCTCTGGCTCCTTGCTCCTCACGCCATGTGAGTGGATGGCAGGCTGGGCCAGGACTGTCCTTCCCAGGGCAAACAGACCCTCTTCTGGCGGCACAAGCTTCTGGGGCCTCGAGAGGTTTGAGGCAAAAGTCTGAGTTGAGGCCTGTGCTTGCTGCTGTCTGTCCCTGATCTAGGAGGAACTGACCCCACATGATCTGGGTGTGGCTTTGAGTGGCAGATCTGAAAACCAGAGGGAGAAATGGCGGCTTCTTGGGGTCAGGCAGGCTGGGTACCCTCTTTCCTCCAGTGACTCTGGCGGTTCTGGTAGCAGACAATCCATTAAGGCTCAGACCTTTACCTCCTCCCCACCAACCCTTGGGCCTGGGTCCCAAACACAGGTCCCTAAGGGACCTCGTCAGTCCAAGCTGGCTGCCTTGAGGACTCTTTCCACACCTGCAGTGAGTCAGTCCAGGGTCACCACCTCCCACCGTCACACCATAGAGAACTTACTAAGCCACGCACCCATTCAATTCACAGTGTGCCTGAGTCCGCCCAGCTAGACAGTCTTCTATACCTGCAGTCTTGGCCTCCATAGAGACAGACCCCACGCAAGACCCTCCTAGGGGGGTACAGAGGCCAGCCCTATGATGAAGGATGTCTGCTCGGCAATCTCGGGAGGCCTTGGGGACAGCCTCTGCCTCCTTCCTTATCATTACAGATCACCTGGCAGCTCCAAGGACCCATAGGCTGCAAATCTGCAGAGAGGACCCCACCCCACACGCATCGCACACACACACACACAGACACACACTTGACACACACTGCATCCATGAACCATATGCACACATATATCTCCGTTGTGTGGCTTTTCCTGAGGAGACGTTGAACAAACATCTCTTCACTCCACATAAGACGCCAACAACAGACCAAAGGGATGAGTCCAGCCAAGGTTCTAGGTTAATGACCCAGCGATTTTGTTCGTGCTACTTACGGGAGCGTGGGGGACTCAACGGCAGTTGCATCCCTGAAAAACCCACCCCAGCAAGGCTACAGCTTGCAAGATCTAGTCTCTGGAGTTCCCAGACTTGCAGGCAGCTTGGGCAGCTCAAGGGTCGCTTCTCCCCAGCAACTTCTGCTTTTGAAACCTCAGGATGGGGCCTTAGGAATCTTGTAAGTTTGCGCAGCGTCCCCTCCGAGAGGATGCTTCCATTTGGATGCAGTTGTTAAGCAGCACTCCACCTCTTTTCTGACGCTTGCATTCCCATATCCCCTCCCTCCCCCCCATGATGCTGTCTAAGCCTCGGAGGAGGTGATGGTAACTGTTGATTATTTTCCCTCGCCTGTGGCTGAGAACTGTCCATTGCAACAGCACTCACTTTCCCTCAGTAACTACTTGTGAGTGTCCCACTGCAAAAACAGGAACTTCCTTCGATGACCAGCAAAAGCTGACAGCAATAAGCTATGGGCATAATCACAGATGTTTAGAAGGTGACTTCATAGCCAGCATTACATCCGTTTAACAGACAATAGCTGTATCTTCCCAGGAGCCCGTCATCTCCCTAGCTTGATAGGGTTTTACCCTGCCTTACATGTAAGTTCCAGATGTAAGCCCTTCTTATGAAGGGAGCCTTAAATCTAATGGCAAAGCAGTTGGTTGCACCATAAAATGGTGCCAGTGTTGTCCCAGTGGGTGCATCTTGCTTGGCCCGTTGGTAGTGCAGCATGCAGGGCCATAGCTAAGCAGGGCTGCTGGTGACAGTTCTCTCCTAGCTGTTGGCTTTGACCTTCTCTGTCACTGCCCTTGTGATCCTTGAGGGTCCTGAGTTTCTGTCACTTACTGCCCTGCTGGCACATGTCAGCACACACAGGCTGTGAGAGTGTACAGTCCGTGACCTGCTTATGGCCATGTTGGCATATTCTTGACTACGGTAGAGCTCCAGAGCTGTTGTTACCCCCGTGTCTTTGTGGTAAGACCTCCCCTTACGGGGAGGCACAGGCATCTCGGCAGGACACCAGGGGTGGGGAGAGCTGGGAAGGTCAGTCCACGGAGGCAGAAGTAACCCTTTCGTTTTCTGTTTCTCTCCCTTCTCACCAACCCCGCCCGATGTGTAGGCCAGAATCACTTCTTGGCCCAAAGAAAACCCAGGTTCCTGGTTCAGTGAATTCAAGCGTGGGAAACTGGTAAGGTGACCTCTGGTCCTTTGCAGTCGTCGCTTTAAACCCACCGTTCGTCTCCTATCTTGCAGAGTAAAATGGCCCGCTGGCCCAAAGAGCAGCCTTCTACCTGGTATAGTCAGTACAAGCGGGGTTCCCTGGTAAGTGGCTGCCTCACGTTGCCTGCTTGCGGCTCGGCCTGGCTCTGGGCTCTGCATGGGACTCATCTCCGGGGCCTGCTCTTGTCCTTCCAGCCAGACTGTTCCACGTCCCTGACAGCAAGGTTCAGATGGGTGTGGTGTGTCTTCCTCCTGTCTCCTCTGATACCCAGAGTTCCTTCCAGCCTGGAAGTGGTTGGATGACATTCCACTGAGATTCTGGATATACCTACATGTCGGTGCTCCAGTAGAGCCCACATGCTGCCTATGGGTGGCACAACTGGGCTGCCTAGACACAGATTAGAGACATACACGGAGCAGGAAAGCCTGTGTAAGCCCATGGGCAGGGCAGGTGAAGCTGCTGTTCTTCAAGTTCTTTGGTCCCCTGCCATGTGTACCCTCTTTCTGTGCTGCTCTTGACCTTGAGGTTCCCAGTTGAACCCACATGGCTGTATCAGTCCATGTTTAACTTATGGGAAGCCTGCCTCAAAGCATAATCCATCCCAGAGGTGAAAAGATCTTGGATCCCCTTTTTTTGTTTTTAATTTTATTTATTATTTTTATTTTACGTGTATGTGTGTATTGCCTGCATGTAGGTAAGTGCACCTATGTTGTGCAATGCCCACAGAGGTCAGAAGAGGCTGTCAGATCCCCTGGGACTGGAGTTATGGACAGTTGTTAGCTACCATGTGGGTGCTGGGATTCGAACCCAGGTCTTCTGCAAGAATACCCATTGTTCTTAACCGCTGAGCCATCTCTCCAGCCCCCAGATCTTGGATCCTCCTAAAACACCAAGCAGGATGCCCTTCTGGCCAGCTTGGAGGCCAGGAGCTGGTTCAGACATGCTCATGGGAGGCCAGTGGCCTCCAACTCAACATGGGGCATATTTCTCTAAACTGTTTGGGGCTTTCCTAAGGTCAACTCAAAGCTTTGTGACACCCTGGTGGACCTCACCATAGGAACAGGCCCCAGGTCCCAGGTGGAGCCCAGTCCTTCTTCACGCCTCCCTTCCAGTTGGTCAGGCCCTACCCTACAGGTCCTTGCTCACAAAGAAACCTGCTCTGGGCTCTCAGCCCTGCACCGGCCCCGGCCTCTCTGCGTGGACAGAGCCAAGTCTTCCCGAGGATGCAAAGCTGTAGCTCCCAGCACCATCCCGTCCCCACTTCTCTGCTGTTCCATAGCCTGGTGACATGCCTGGCTCTCTGACAGGGCCCCAGGTGCTCTGCCTCTGTACAGAAGCTACAGGCCTGCGCGTCTGCCCGTGACTCCACACCTCCTCCTGCTTGCTGCGAGTCAGGCGTTCTGTCTGTTTCCTTTCCTGGCCTCTTTTGCTTGCCCTGGAGGAGAGCCACTGGCACACAGAAGGACCTGTGGGGAGGGAGGCCCAGTGAGCAGTGACAGTAGGCTGGGGGTGGGGCATGCAGAAGAAACTGCAAAGATGCAGCTGACCAGGGGAGGGGTCCGGGGCATCCTGGCCACCTGTGCTCGGCTCAGCCCTCTCTCCTTCCATAATGGCTTTTACCTGGTATAGTCCAGGTTCGCCAGGAGGCCCCACCCTAGTCACTGTCCTCACTGACTGAGGAAGCTTCACAGAATACCCACGTCTAGACGGTCCCCCTTAACCTTCATTCATCCTAAATCGGTTGCCAGGGACAGAGGCACAGAGAAAATCCAAGGCAAATCAGCCTTTCTTCGGGGCCTCTGTGAGAGACACTAGTGACTGGGAGGTAAATGGAGGCCTCTGTTGGGGAAATCCAGTCTCCTTCGGGGCTGCCCAGGACCACCACCCGTAGTGGGGGCGCAGGGCGTTCCCTGGGGCCAGGTGTCCCCTGGGGTAGGGCCACTTGGAGACCGCAGCCTGGGAGAGCACCGGGTTTTCAGGTCCTTCCGTGTCTAGGGCCAACCTTGCCTCTGCTGTGGCTTGTGTCCTTCCTCAAGTCAGTCACGTGTCCTCCCAGGAGCACCAGATGCCCATACTGCCGGTTGGTATCCACTTTTCCTTCACAGAGCCTGACTGTGGAGTTTGCTTAAGCTGTCTTCAAGGGTGTAGAGTTGGCTGACAGCTTGGGAACCCCAGGGTGTTGGAAAGGATCGGGGTCCCGGGCCTGGTTTCTCTGGTCTCTCCAATTGAAAATGTAGGTGCTGAGGTTGTTGCTCATCGTTCCCTGTGCCAGAACCACCCCACCCCCACCCCCCACCCCCCGCTGACCCTCAGCAGCACTTTCCCAGCACTCTTTCACGTGCCCCTATTGCCTCTGGAGGCCAGCGTAGAGCAGTGTTGGAGCAGCTGCTGCCTGGAGCTGGGACCACCAGAGTGAGACGCTGGCCTCTGGCAGCCTCTCTTCTTGTCTAGAGAGAGGCCTTTGGTCTTACCTAGGCAGAGGTGGTGCTCTGTCCCACATCTGAGATGCTTCACATCCCTGACAATGTCAAGTGCCCTCTGCAGAAACTGAGACTCACCTCTCAGGATACCCATACCGGTCTGTACCTGGCAGAAGAGAATGGCTTTGGTTACCCAGCTGGTCACACTGGGGAAGCCACTCAAGGAAGTGGCATTGCCTTTCTCTGATGCTCTGGAGAACTGGGCCTTCCAGTGAGGGTCCTGTCACCCAGAGCCCTGGGCTGCTCGCTTGGTAAATGCGGTGGTCTGCAGGATTGCCTGTTGGCTGCCTAGAAGCCCACCCTTGGCAGGAGAGAATGCCCGCACCTCCAGGTGCACCTGGTCATCCCAGTCTCCACACAACCCTGCCCCTCTCTCAGACCAGCCTAGCAGCCAGCCAGCCTGTGCCATTCCCCAAGGTCTCATGGCCTTTCCAGCTCTTGAGTCCAGCAGGCTCCCAAAGAGGGGCCAGACACACGCGCCCACAACACCTTCTTTTGCTCACCACAGTGACAGGGACACAGGCTGAGCCTCTGTGCTTGTGGCAAGAGATGGCCACCAGGACACAGAACCTGACTGGGACACAGGACCTGAGGGAAGTCAGGACTGCATACAGCTTCGGGCTGCAGGCAGGGCTCAGAGAGGAGCAGTGGCAGAGCTGTGACCCTGAGTTCTCAGCCATAGCACACTCTGCCAGTGGGCACTGTGCCCATCACAGAGAGAGGAGCCTCTGTCAAGGCTCAGACCCAGACAGAGCCCTTGAGAACTGCCAGGGCAGGAAGGAATGTGGTCACCCAGAGACCCCAGGAGCTATCTCCCACTCCCAGGCCTTGTCCCCATGGATCTCCTTAGAGAAAGAAGGCCTGGCCTTCACCCTGACTCAGAGATCCCGGGACAGGAGTGGGTCTTAGCAGACCGCGTGTTCTCAATACTTCCTTGTTATTATTTCTTCAACGCGATCCAGCCTGCCGGGTTGGGAGGGGGTGGTTAGTTCCTCAGAAGCAGCCTGGCATCAGGAGGCAGAAAGGAGGGCCAGGAGTTCCTGTACCTGACCAGGCAGGCTTCCCGGAGGAGGTAAGGGTTCTGAACGTGGAGAGGCAGAGCAAAGGGTCATAAGCAGACTGTCAGTTACTGAAGGAAATCCTGTGTGTTTCACCTTGCTCCAGCTCCCAGGTGATCCCAGGAACGCTCGTGTCCTGGCCTAGGGGCTAGGAGTGTGCAAGCTTCCAGACAGCACCCTCAGAGGCGATGAGTTTGGGCGAAGCCCAGCCCTGTGGATGTGGGAGGCTCTGCGGAATTGCTGTGTGTTCTCCGCCCTGCTGATAACCCTCGCTATCCGTCCCCTAGCTTTCCTATGTGGATGCTGAGGGCAGCCCCGTGGGCGTGGTACAGATGGCCTTCCTGCGGCTGCTGAGCGCGTCTGCCCACCAGAATATCACCTACAACTGCTATCAGTCAGTGGCCTGGCAGGACGCCTCCACGGGCAGCTACGACAAGGCCATCCGCTTCCTGGGCTCCAACGATGAGGAGATGTCCTACGACAACAACCCCTACATCCGTGCCCTGGTGGATGGCTGTGCTGTGAGTGTCTCACGTGATGTCACGGTGTATGCCTCCCTCCGATGTACTCAGGGTACCTTCTGTGTGTCTGTCACTGAGATGCGTGGTGGACATTGAGAGTCAAATGTGTCCCCAGCCTGGCTGTATCAGAGTGCAGCCAACTTGGGCCAGTCCAGGTCAGGGTTTGGAGACCTCCTTTCCCCTAAGTAGCTCATTTCTGGGCATGTAGAACCAGGACTGGGCTTCTTTGTATGTATGTGTGTATGTACACATGTATTTGTATTTGTGTGTACATGTGTGTACATTTGGAAGGCAGAAGTGGGCTTTGTTCCTGCAGAATGGCAAGGTCTCACTGGTTTGAACTGGACAAGTAAGCTACACAGGCTTGCCTTCCAGAGGCTGGAGGTGAGTCACCAGGAAGTCCAGCAGCCATTTTCCTGACCCTTCCTGATGTCAGACCCCATTCTCTTTATCACTTGTTCTGGGAGAATGTGCCTGGAGACCCCCTCCCTCAGCTCTCTAGGGCCAGGCTGATGCTGACCGCATCTCATTCCCTTTCCCTGTGTCCAGGGTCAGCCCCCAGGAGCTGGCACCCCCACACGGCACGCCTTTCTGTTCAATTTGTGGGTGAAGCGGACTTGCCCTGGTGCCATACAGAGCCAGTCCCAGGGATTTGGGGGTGAGGAAACAGCATATGAACTCTTGCTGATGACTTCCATGTCACTATTTGATAAAACAGCCAGGCACCATCGGAGTGTGTCCTGGCCTAGGAGACCCCCCCTCGAGTGCTGTATGGGACCTGGGAAGAGAGCATGGCATGTCTTCTCCCCACCCGTCTCTGTCTTGTTTCTTTCTGAGCTGTGGCATTCTTGCATCATCCTTGGATGTCGAAGCTAGGCGTAGGATGTAGGCATGCTGGGTTGGGGAGGGAGAAGCAGCTCCCTCCTATTCGACTTCTGGAAAGAAAAGATCCTCTCTTTGAAAAGGTGGGGAGATAATGGCTGAGGACAGAATAACCCGCTGATGGGAACAATTGACCCTGCAGGCTGGCAAGGGGATGCAGAGGGAGGGAAGGACCCGCCGTCGTGTGGAGGCGAAGGGGAGTCTGAGGAGAGCAGCGTGCCTCAAGGCGGACTTGGTCCAGTGAGCCATTCTCCACCCCACACCCCTGAGAGGTTCAGCTATGATCTGAAAGGTCACAGCCCTTCATTCAATTACGGGGCTCCCGCGGGAGACTCCTGTCCTCCACACACGGGCCAGTGGTGCCAGGGCCTGCCGAGCCCTGGGAGGCCAGCTTGATTCATTTTGTAATCACAGCCACTGAAATTGGAATTCTGACACTGGCATCGTGTGGCTGGGTAGCCTGATTGACGGTGCTGCTGAGCGGCTGGCCCTGTGGAGGGACTGGGAGTCGCTCCACATCAATCCCATTGTTCCTGCAGCTTTGTGTATCCCTGGGGGGCCGTTGCTAGCCCACAATGGTTATTTATGCCTCTTCTTTAAATACGCCTCTCTCTAAGCGCTCTGATAATTGGAGCAGCGGGGCCCTACAGATCCAAGTGAAATCACCTGCCAGCTACATACCCTGGCATGGGGGGGGCGGGGAGAGACCCACACGATGCTGACACAGTAAGCAAGAGGAAGAGGAGAGGACTGTTGTCGTCCTGTGGGCTCATGACTCACAGCTGTGCAAAGGTAGAGAGCTCCCCTCTTCCCACTGAGCTCACATGACTCCCCAGACCTCACCACCTCACCCAGAGCCCAGGGAAGGCCAGGCTGATGACCTCATATGATTGATTGCCTGCCTGGGTTGGGGAGCGGAGTCAAGGAGATAGGGCCTAGATGGCAGGGTGACCAGCTCTGCCTGCTGAATCTGGCCAGGGGGGTGGGGAGGTGAGCCACTCCTTGGCTAGCTGCAGGGGCATGTGAGCCCAGCTCCAGAGGCCGTGCAGATTTTTTTCTGTGTGTGTGTGTGTGTGTGTGTGTGTGTGTGTGTGTGTGTGTGTATGCTTTTCATGTATGTGGGCATACATATGTGTGGGTAAGCATGCACATGTGGAAGTCTGAGGTTGATGTCAGAAATCATCCTCAATTATTCTTACACCTTATTCATTGAGGCAGGGTCTAACCCAGAGCTCACTGATAACGGCTAATCTTAGCCAGTTTGCTCTGAGGATCCCCTTGTGTCTGCCTTCCAAGGCTGGAATTACAAACTGCCATTCCCTCTTGGCATTTATGTGGGTTTCTGAGGATCCAAAATACAGTCTTCAAGTTTGTGAGACAGAAGCTTTACCCCCGTCTCCTGCTGTATTCGTATCTCATATATTATACTAGAAGTTCCAAGGAACTTCCAAAGAACTTCCTCCACTTCCTGGAAGTGGAGCGGTATGGCCATCTTTTGGGGCAGTTTCCATATAGCCTGGCCAGAGTAACCATAAGTGTCTCCAAAACTTGGCCATGTTCTGGGCACCTGATATCTGCACTGAGTCCTGGCAGCATAGTGTTTCTCAAAGGACAGTCAGAAAACTATGAGTAATAAAATTGTGCAAGACCCCCATTTAAGAAAGTGCAGATTTCAGGGCTGGAGAGATGGCTCAGTGGTTCAGAGCACTAACTGCTCTTACAGAGGACCCAGGTTCAGTTCCCAACACCCACATGGCAGCTAACAACTGTTGTAACTGTTAACTTCAGTTCCAGAGAGGTCTTATGACCTCCACAAGGCACTGGATAACATAGATGCACTTACATACATGTAGGCAAAATACTCATACACATAAAAATAAGTAGATAATTTTTTTTAAAAGAGAAACTGCAGATTCTGAATCCTGCCCCAGATCCTTCTGGATGGTCAGAGCCTGTAGTGATTGTAGGCTTCTGGGGCCCTGTTGCATTTCTGATTCTCTTACTCTGGCTTTCTGATCTTCCTCCCAGCAAAGTGCAAGATAAAGGTGTCCTAAGAGGGAGCCGTAGGAGGGTGAGGTCTGGGGCAAGTGGAAGTTTGGATACTGTGAAGGCAGACACTGAGGCTGATGTCAGCGATGCCAGTGGGACAGGGTTCCACCCACATCCCCAGTTGCCCCCGAGCCATCAGCACACCTTCCAATGTCCAGCTGAGGGACAATTGGTAGCAGAGAGTGTATTGGTTATCTGTTGCTTGGAACAAATGAGCCTGGACATCTACCAGATTTAACAAAGGAATTTGCCACCGCATTCAGCATCTGAACCCTGGGAGTGGCTTGACTGGGCAAGTCGGCCTCAGCGTCAGTCAGACTTGTGTGAACCACCTTCAAAAATGACAGTTGCCCGAGCAGCTTATAAGTGACAGACATTGATTGCTGATAGTTGGCAGGCTGGAAGCTCCAGGTCAGGGCCAGCACAGTTGGGTTCTGCTGTGGACTGTACACAGCCAACTTCTCACAATATTCTCTCTCACATGGCAGAGAGGGAGGAAGGCAGACTTGCCAGAGTCATTTCATAAGGGAACTGAGCCCAAAGCACCTCCTCAAGCCCCACCTCCTACCATCGCCTTGAGCAACAGGGTTCCAACGGGTGGATTTGGGGCACAGTCTACCCACAGCCACGGAGTAAGACTTTGAGACCAGCACCGAACGAGGGAGAGTCAGTCTGGGGCCCCTCTGCCTGACTACACCATGGTGCATTGCCCCCACAGAGGAGATGCTTGCTGGCTGCCCACTTTCCCCTTGTGATTTCTGCCAGGGATTGAGCAGTGGAGAAAGACCAGACCCAGCTCCATGTAACTCCATGTGTCCATGTGTCCATCCAGGAACCCCTGCTGAGGACAGATGGCCAGTGGATGTCTCAAGTTCGCGGGGGAAAAGGCAGCTGTCAGGGACCACTGGAGGAAGTTAACAGGATAGTAGGGCCAGGATAGTTGACAGGATAGTTGGCCTCTGTGATGAGTACCTTAGAAGCCTGAGTTGAGCCTGCTTGGGTTTGGGTCCACAACACTCCTGCCTCTTCCTCCCCGCACGCCGGGCTTTGTAGACAGGTCTCTTTTGGAGAGACCTCAGCAAGGTCTGTTCTTGAGAACCTGGACAACTTTCCAGTTTATTGCTTGTTGTTGATGGGGTAATGTAAGAAACTGAATTACACTCCTGAACGAGTGCCTTTCTCCAGATGCCCATTCTCTCTGGGGGCCTGAGGCTGGGTTTCCATGTACCATTGGAAACCAGGCACAGTATTAGACCAATACAATGCAAGTATTACTTAAATTTACTATAGGCACCTACCTCACTCCCTAGCTGAGGTTCACCCTGCCCTTCCTAAGAGGGCTTTGTTCCTCTCCCCACAAGTATGCTGGTCTGAGCACAGGAGAGGCACAGACTCATCTCTCAGGCTGCATGATTGTGCCTCAGTTTACCCAGGACTCTTCTGGAGCAGGTGATGTGGAAGGTTCCCTGCCTGGCCACACCTGTAGGCGTGTACCCTTGTCCTCAGAGGTCTAGTAGTAGAGTGCTGAGAGCAGGCCTTGGCCTCGCTGACATGTACCCAGATGATCACAGGAGATCCCACACCAACATGGCCCCAACGCCTGCTCTCTTCAGTGTTTGCTGTTCGTGATTGTCTATTTTGGGAGCGGGGAGACCGTGTTCTGATTTTGTACAGAAAGTTCTGTAGCCAGCCCTGTCACAGACTGAGACAAATACCTATTCTGTAATAGGAGGGGTGTGGGGGCTGGGGAAGGAGGTGCAGTCAAGCTTCATCTGCCTCACTTGTGTGTGAAGTCTTATGGGAGTCCTGTCAGCTCCCTGATCCTGACTCCCACTGGTCCTGGGGCATCATCCATGGGATTATAGCAGGCTCTGGTCAGCCATGTTTCCTCCAACCTGCCACATGTATCAGGTAACTCAGGACTAGGTGGAGACTTGTAGCGGAGGGGAACCTGAGCTAGGTGTGGTGAGAATCCTAACTACTTTTTAAATCTTGTTAGAAAAGATTTGATTTATTATTTTTATTTTTTATGTGTGTGAGTGTTTCACCTGCATGTATGTGAGTGCACCCATGTTATACAATGCCCACAGAGGTCAGAAGAGGGCATCAGATCTTCTGGAACTGGAGTTTCGAACGGTTGTTAAGCTACCATGTGGGTGCTGGGAACCGAATCCAGGTCTCTGCAAGAGCAGCCGGTGCTCTCTTAATGGCTGAGCCATCTCTCTAGTCCCAGGGATCCTAACCACCTTAACAACCCCAAGAGGCCCTGGGCTCTAATTACCTCCATGTGCTTCCTCCTTCCTAGACCAAGAAAGGCTACCAGAAGACGGTGCTGGAGATCGACACCCCCAAAGTGGAACAAGTGCCCATCGTTGACATCATGTTCAACGACTTTGGTGAAGCATCACAGAAATTTGGATTTGAAGTGGGGCCGGCTTGCTTCCTGGGCTAGGAGCTGCCGAGCCTTCCGGTCTCCCGAGCAACCTCGTGACCTCAGCACCCCACCCATGGGTGTCCTGTGCACGGCCCATCCCGGACAGTGAACATTTCTCCCCCGCCTGCCCTACTCATCTGTGCCTCGGTAACCCCGGGGTGCTGGACCCCACGCCCAGAGAGAACAAAGGGAAAGAGCCGTGTCCCCACAGAGCCGAATCACATGACCTAGCCACGCCACAGCCTCTTGCCACACCACGTGCCCTGGCCCCCAGCCTGCCCGATTGGTTCATCCGTGGCATTCGTGAACCATTGGCTGGGAGTTGGGGGTAGGGCAGTATTTGGAAATCACTTTAAAAAAAATTCAACTTGAAGATGTGTATTCCCCCTGACCTTCAAAAGATGTTCAAAGGCAGTCTGGTAAAGGTCACCAAAGTCTCTTTTTTTCAAAAAAAAAAAACAACCCTCAACACATCCACTCAGAGGCCAAATGTCATCTGCATGTGCCTTTCCGATGGATTAAAGGTGCTTATGTTTTTGTGAGAGTTTTTAAGTAAATATTTGTATTGTATTGTTATAAATGTTAAGTGTGCCTGATTTTCAATCGTGCGTGGAAACCCAGCCTCAGGCCCCCAGAGAGAATGAGCATCTGGGGAGAGGCACCCGCTCGGGAGCTTAATTCAGCTCTTTACCCCCCCCCAACCCCATCAACAACGTGCAATAAATTGGGAACTTGCCCAGGTCAGCAAGAAGTCGCAATGGATCTGCAGGTGCCCGGGCCCCTTTCCAGACGTTTCTATTTCTTTTTTCCTTTTGATTAGCTCTGGATATTTTTTTATGGGGAGGGAAAAAAATTGATACTCTGACTTTTCCATATGAGCTCACATTAAAACACAGGCTTAAATTAATTTTGATTGCTTCCTTTCCCCATGAGTGTGGTGGGGGAGTGTCCAGGGCTGTAAAACCACGTGTTCTGTAAATGAAAACTGACTATGAACATTGGTGCTGATTTTGTTTTACACTTGTCTCTTGTGGTGCTACGTGTCTTAAGATCTACTACAGGCAGCACTGGGGTGGGGGCCTGCCTCACCTCTTTCCCCCACTTCCGTTTATCCTGGTCATTTCTCCATGTTCTGAGGTTGATCCAAGGACCTGAAGAACAGCTTGGTGCCCGAGACCTCTCTTCCCAGCAGGCACTCTTTACTCTTGATGGGGGTGTGGGGGATGTTCCTGAGGTCCATCCCCAAGTCCTGTGTTATGCTTACATCATATGAAAACACATGCACAAAACAAAGACTCTTCCTGCATGGTACATGGTGTATCCGCAGCAGATTGTGTGCGGTTGCCGAATGTTTGTGGTGCTAATTTTTGTGTGTGTTCCAAGGATGGAATGGGAGCTCCTGGGTGCCCACGCCGATAGCCAGGCCACCTTGCACGCAGCCGGGTGGCCTAAGAAATGTGCAGTGGACCCAGTCTCCGGGGCTGCTACACCGCTTCTCCCCCTACGAGAGCAGTTTGGGCTCCCACCCATAGGTGCCCTGGGTGCTGGGGTCAGCACTCTGAAGCTGGGCTTGGTTCCCTCTGCATGTTACCCTCTCCCTCACCATCTGGGGTGAGGAACTGCCTTTTGGGTGCACAGGACCCGAGGACCCCAGGACCAGCAAGGAAAATTGATCCTCACTGTGAAAGTCACCCTCCTGTCTTGCCTCTCCTTCCACCGTGGGCAAAGTGTGGAGCCCCTGGGAGCCGGCGGTCATACTCTGGTGCTCGTTCCCCTCCTCCCTTGCATGGAGGAAACCACGGCAAAGCACCCAGCAATGACCAGAAGTGACGAACACCACCAACTCTCGTTCCCAAAGTTCCTCCGAAAACAAGTCTTGCTCTTGCCAAAGAAAAGTCTGGCCTCGGAGATTTCTCCCAAAGCCAGGAGAAAAGCCATATCGGAGGATGGCCGTGTGATGCCCTGTGGATTCTGTGTAGGTCATGTGATTCGGTCTCTGCCTCTGGCCCCATCCAATTTGTCCTTCTGTCATGTTCCGTTGGTCCCCTCAACATTGTAATTTGTATGAAATCCAAAATGTGTCCTGTTCTCCCCAGACCACTTTAGCTATGGTATATTACAATAAAATTAATTCTTATATTTGCAGACACTCTTCTGGTGTAATTTTATTTCTCTCTCTCTCTCTCTCTCTCTCTCTCTCTCTCTCTCTCTCGCTGTCTTCATGGACAAATGTTGAGTTAAATGCAAAAAAATAAAGCAGTCTACGATTAAAAACTACAGGATGTGGGTCCTTTAAAATTCGCCAACCGATACGTTGTGCATTTCCTGGAAGTTTCATGGAAGTGTCAGATCTTAACTTCTTCCGAGGAAGGGTGTTCGAAAATATCTGAAATCTGTGTAACAAAGGAATCGTTGTAACAGTGTCTCAATAAACCGAGTTTACTGTTTACACCTGACAGATGTGACTGGCTGTCTTCTTCAGGGTAGCAGGTCCTCTACCACCCACTCGCTGATGTCGCACGTGCAGTTCAGGACATTAGGAGCTATGAGTTTCGCAGCGATGTTCTCAGAGGGATGGGATCCACGGAAAGCTTCCAGCTGGGAAGTTGGAAGGAGTTGGTGACTAAGCCTTGCAATGTTCCTCAAACTTAGACCCATATGGGGCAGCATGCAGCAAGAAAACTACCCAGCTACCCTCCCCTGGGGGCTGCACCTGCAGGGTCTGCACATTCTTGAAGGAGGAACCTCATTCCAGGGTGGGGAGTGGTACAGCCACTTGGCTGTGGATGGAAGGATTGGTGTCATCTGCTGACAAGGCTTGTCCTGTGCCTGGCCCCAGACTTTTAACAACATGACTTCACACAATAGATTTAATAGTACATCCCTACCATCAGATTAGGGGCTTCCAGCTCAGAGCCCCCTCCTTCTGGGTTAACCTATAGGACAAGCTAAAAGATGGGAGTCGGGGAGGGTGATGGAGACACACAGAGTCTCTGGTCCCTTGGGTCACAATACAGCTCCTTCACTCTGCAGAGGCCCCACAGCCATGGAGAAAACAGAGACAGTTTCCTGAACTCATTCTTGGAGCTGAGCCCACTGAGAGAGACCTAAGACCCTCTCTGAGAGACATTTGCATCAGAATGCCAGGATGACTGGACACCATGCCAGGTCCTGAACTCTTTTGCCCTGCCTCAGGGTGGGAGATGCCCCTACCACCGAGCAGGGGCGCAAAGCTACATCCCCAGCTTGGTTTTGGTAAGTTCTGAGCCTGGAAGACCCAAGCCCCAGTGTCCCCATCCTCTGATCAGCCTATGGAAGCTGACAGGTGCTGAGATGCTGAATCTAGGCCCCTCCTGCTTTCGCTCCCCTGGTGTAAGCCACAAGCATCTGTCACTGACGCTGCTGTTCTCTCTTGGGACCTTTGTCAGGCACTGGGTCTGTTCTGTGCCCCAGCCAGGAAGCTATCCCTCCCCAGCTGCACCCCAGGAGTAAACACTTCACAGAAGTGCATCCTCCCAGAGGCATTCTGCATCCCTTCCTACCCGTACTGAGTGGAAATCCTGTTGGTTTGGGAGACATCCAGTCCCCAGGCATATGCCGTGAGCGGACATGTTCAACTACACAAGAATCCATTGCCCTCTGAGACTTCCTTAAACTTGTTTGAAACTAGAAGCCACCGCACAAAGAACTCCTTCGTGGTTGAGACAGTTGGAAAAGCTCTTCCCCCAGACGGGAGCCAACCCCTCTGCGTCAGCAGGAATCAGTGTGGAGTAGCACGTGACCCCAAGACCTAGGGGATGGAGATGGCACCGTTTCACGTCACAGCTTCTGCAAACAGCTCAGCCAGGTCCTCGGGCTCAGGATCACCCCCCTGACATTGCAGCTGGGTGCCTGCCAGGACCCAGGTCTCATTCAGAAGGTGAACCAGGGAAGATCTCTTGGTGGTGGCAGGATCCGGATCCTTGGGTGCTGTTGGCTGGTGGACACCTCCATCCGTCATCACGTGGGCCTCTCCAGCATGCTGACCTACTCCATCACACCAGTCACAGGAAAGCAGCTAGCAAATTAAGAGTCCAATGCCCACCCCATCTCTGAAGGGGCACCTGCTCATCGGCTGTGCTCTGTGGACAGAAGCAGTAGGGTTACCGTGGCTCAGCAGTTACCATGAGACTCCTAGGGACAGACTGAACGCACCTTGCACTGTGAGATGGCCAGGGAACTTCAGGGGTCAGGGAAGAATGCACGAGTCTGGATCTGAAACATTTTCCCTGGTCCATATGTTATGACTTGAACACCAGCCAGTACACTACCAGGAAATGATGAAACCTCCAGGAGGTGGAGCTTAGTGGGAGGAGTTAGGTCCTTGGCGATGCACCTCCTAAAGGGATATTGGGACCCCGGCCCATTCTTGTCTCTCTCCTTCTCTGTAGCCATGAAAAAAGGCTTCCCTGGCACATGTTCTCATTTCCATGAGGCACCAGGCCCTCATAGACCCACAGCAACCAGGGCAAGTGGCCACCGACTGAAAACAATGAGCCAAATAAACCTTTCCTCTTTATAAGTTGATCTTCTCGGGCATTTTGTCATGACAATGGAAAGTTGATAAACACAGCACCCTTCAGGGTGGAACTTGGGTGCAGCCCTACCATTGGGAAGGCAGAGGCAGAGCGGAAGTGTGCGGTGATTTCATCTCTTACCTTCCAGGAGGAGGGCCTCATTCCCCTCACATGTGAAGCCCCGTGGGTGCTGCCAGGGCTGAGGGAGACGAGAGCCACCGGTGGTTTTTTCCACCCCAGCTGACATCACACATCTCCTGGCACTCAGGTAAAGGAATGATGTGGTGAGCAAGTCATTTACAGATTAATGGCGGTGCATACTCCCAGCTGGGAATGGCCATGGTGCTGGGAGTGGGGTGGGGTAGGTGAGGGTGTCTGAAATGCCTGCATGTGACTAGCAGTTACTCCCACACAGCAAGAACATGGGTGAGTAACAGAAGGCCACACAGACACCAGGCATAGTTGGAATATGGGGGTGGCTTTGCTTGCAGACTTCTATATGCTTAGACTGTTTGGGAGCAAAGGGCAGACATCTGGGGCAGGCCTTGAGGGCTACAGAAATGTGAACTGGCGTTTTGGTGTGGAAGGTAGGCCTGGGGGCATAGAGGACTGCTGGAAGGCCACTTCTTGCTCTGAGGAGTACAGAGATTGTAAATGAGACATGGACATCACAGGGGTGCTGATGACAGGGTGGCCCAAGATTGGGCATCACTCACCTGCACATTGGTGTCCCACATTGGTGCCACACACCCACGTAGTCACAACCTCCGTGCCTGTGCCTCCCACTGAGCCTCTCACCAGCCTCTGAGGCCCTGTCTTCCATACCGTTTCTGGACTCCTTCAAGGTTTTTTCCTCTTCCTGTTGTGATTCACCCCAAATATTTTAGATCTGACTCTGACTTTTCAGTTCCTGGCTCAGATCTCACCTCTTCAGAGAGGCGGTGAAGAATTGGGTCTCTCAGCAGTTAATCTGCAGCCATCCAGCATCTTTAAAGACAGCTGATACCTATCTGTCCCATCAACAAAAATAACCTAGGGCAGGTCTTAAACGTTTTTGCATTTGGGAGCCCTTTTCTCCCAAGAAATTTCCATATCACCCTGGGTATATAAGTGTAGCTTCTAGTTAGCCTTAGATGTCAACTTGACACAGTGCAGAGCTGTCTGAGGAACCTCAACTGGGAGAATTATTTCAGACTGGCCTGTGGGCTTGTCTACAGGGCGTTTTCTTGATCGCTAATTGATGTAGGAAGCCCACCACATCGTGGGCAGTGCCATCCCTAAGCAGGTGGTGCCAGGTTGTATTAAGAAAGCTAGCTGAGGGGCTGGAGAGATGGTTCCGTTGTTAAGAGCACCAGCTGCTCTTGCAGAGGACCCAGGTTTGGTTCCCAGCACCCACACGGCAGCTAACAACAGTCCATAACTCTAGTTCCAGGGGATCTGACGCCCTCTTCTGACGTTCTCAGGCTTTGCATGATATGGGTGCACTTACATACATGCAGGCAATACACTCATACACTTAAAAAAATGAATAAATAGGGCCGAGAGTGGTGGCCATGACTTTACTTCAAGCACTCGGGAGGCAGAGGCAGGCAGATCTCTGTGAGTTCAAGGCCAGCCTGGTCTACATAGTGAGTTCCAGGACAGCTGGGGCTATAGGGAGACCCTGTCTCAAAAAGACCAAAAAATAATAATAATAATAATAAATAAAATATAAAAAAGAAAGCTAGCTGAACGTGAGTTGGTAACAAGCCAGTAAGTGGTATCCTCCATGGTTCTGCTTCAGGTCCTGCCTTGAGTTCCTGCCCCAACTTCCCTCAAAGATGGCCTGTGACCAGAAGTATAAGATGAAATAAACCGTTCCCCCCCAAGCTGCTTTTGGTCATGGTGAAACCAAACCAAGTATGTAAAAGAGACATACAAACCAGACCTTCATTGATAATAATTCATAGAGTTTATTTTTAGGACCACTCTTGGTATACATATAATTCTATCATGTATTAAAGAGACGAATTAATGAGATGAATGAGCTCGTTTACTTTTACGTAAAGATTAAATCTTGACTGAATATTTAATACTGCGGGCTGTAGAGTGTCTTCAATGTTTTTCAGAGTTGATTGTTATTTTGATTTTATAATAGTTAATGCCAAGAACGTCACTTTGCATAAGTACATAGGACAAAATGGCAGAAGTGTGTTTAAAGCTATTTCAGACATTGGAAATTCTTCCCCCATCTCAAGCCAAAATTCATTGACCAATTTTTTTTTTTATGAAACTTAAGCCAGCAACTCAGACAGCGGTTTAAAAAAAAAAATCTAACATTCTCAATCCACAGATTTACTAATTTGATTCTTACATGCTGGGGAATGACAGTAGGTAAATATTTAAGTCTTTTTCTGTAAATTGTTATGTTTCTGTAAGAGTTGAAAATCCTGTGTGCCCAGTAAAAACACAGCAGTTCGTAACACACAAGAGTTTCGAATCTGGTGCTGGAGAGACAGCTCAGCGGTTGAGCACTGACTGCTCTTCCAGTAGGTTCCCAGCATCCACATGGCGGCTCACAACCATCCATAACTCCAGTTCCAGGGGAGC